CAATAAACAAACATATTACGGACTCAGAGGCCTGCGATAGTTAAGAGATTGAATTTAGGGGCCCATCTGTAGGAAGCCTCGCTGGTCTGGTGGTAAAGTTCTGGACTACGGATTGCAACTCCATCCCGAGGCGTGGGTTCTAATCCCGACTAGGACGGCGCGGATTTTAAAGTAAGTCACAACTCTACGATGATCCACCACCTGGTAGCAACGCATATGCACGTTCGGAAGAACATTAGTACCAAACATATCACCTAGAGAGCGCGCACTCTAGGATGCAATACTTGTGCAATATTTTTAAAATATTCATACAATACTTTGAAAAAATTCAAGAAATATTTTGAAAATATTCAAAAAATATTTTTCAAATTAACTGAGGTTAACATGAGTAGATTTTAAAAATAATATAAAAAGTTTTTAAAAATATTTTGTGAAAATATTAATTTAATATTTTTAAAATTTCTTAAAAATATTTTTTGTCTAACTGGGTGAGACATATTCCTCACAACGCAACTTTGACGTCAGAGGTTACTCTAAAAATTGAACTTTAACGCAACTTGACAGTATCTTTTTAGTCGAAGAGAAATTGGAACAACAATAATTTCAAGGCGCGTTGCATCTGGGAGGTTAGAATAGATTATGTTAACGTAGAACAGCGAATAAGAATTTAAGGGCTCATAAGAAACCTCAAGTGTCAAAAACTTCTCTGATTATTCTCCTCTGTGTGAGGAAGGTTCGGTGAAAATTTCAAGCAATAGTGTTGGTTTATTTCATAAAATAGAATAGGAGCAGAGATATTGAAACACCTCAAACCAGATTCGCGTTTTTGCAAGTTCACCGTCGATTAAAAGTTGCCCAGAGGTGAGCTGTCAATGTTGCGCGGGTAATACACATGCTTTTGAAGTGTCTGGGCGTGCGAGGGGAAAATTACTGGAGTGAAATGAAAACAATTAATCGTTTTCATAGTTTCTCTTTAATACATCAGTGCTTCAGGATAGTTCCTTTTATTTTATACAGTATGTACAACAAGACTGGAGCGAACATTTTTTACAAACTTACAAAAGAGTCGGAGCAAAGTTACCGGTGCTTGAGCTGTCAATACTTCCGTGCAAAGCAGTCATGTTGACCGGAAAAATTGGCAATGCGCTAAAATCACGTAGGTGCGAAAGGTTATAACTGGAGTTATGTGGTTTTAAAATATAGGGACCACCCTCGCGTTGATATTTTGCCGATTCTTTCCTCCGGCAACACTGTGAAACGTCTCAACTTGTGGATAGAAACTTGAGGGCTAATTTTCAGCTGAGTCATTTTGATCGTGAAAAATGGAACTTGGGAAACTTGGCGATCCATTATTTCAGAGACGGAGGGAACCTTGTGAATTGATTTTTGATTGTTTTAATGTTGATGCCGCGGGAATTGAGGTCGTTTATTTTATGATTCTGCAGGATGTAAAGCTGCGAATTCGAAAGTGTGAAAAGAACTACCGCGTTTAGCGTGAATAACGGCTTCCATCTCGGCCCCCGAACGACGGAGATGGAAAACTGCAAGACCACCTTTGTGAACGCTTCAGAAGAGAGTTGTTTATTAGAAACATCTAATATATTTTATATTCGCCTATTAAAGTTGGTTGAAATTACTCTATATATCTAAAAATTAACGATGTTTATTTGTAGGTTGAGAATTTTTAATTAAATTATAAGTAGTTAGGTATTTTTGGCGCAAAGATCAACCCTCACAAGAAACTTGCGAGGGTTCTGACGATTTTCATACGCACAGGAGAAAATAGTTATTGGGAACTTAACATTTTAGTGTTCGAAATGGGATGGTGAGCATCCATCCGAAAATTGTTGGAAATCATATGTATAATTTATTAAGACTTTACGTTTTGATACCCGCACGTCGAAATTATCTCAAGAAAATTAAGAATTTGATAATAAATGTTACTTGATAAATTCAGGTTCACTAATAAATTCGTCAGAGGTATTTTTTTTTAGGTCCAAGGTCGTGGTTTTCTTCTGTGTTGCTGTTCCGGGTTCAATTAAATGGATTTAGAAAGGTAGATTTTACATTTGGGACTCAGTAAATTTCAAAATCGAGTTGTTAAATATGTTTAGTGTTTTAGGGTATTCTGAATTAATGTTCAAAAGTTACAAACACTTTCATGAAATTTCCTGCGTGACAAGTGGGGTAAGTATCCATAAGCGCCTTTTATGGTCCTGAAAATGATTGAAAATAGTAAAAGCGCGAAAAAAGAGGTTGTGCGTGGCAAATAGTAATTTTTCACATCATTATTTTAAGACTGCGGCTCAGTTTTTTCGAATTGTGTTGAAGTAATCATGATATAGTAGGTATTAGATGCCCAAAATTGGGTCTTACATTGCCTCTGCAAAACTAACTAAAATTAGCTAATATTCCGACGATTTTGCTGTAATTTCACTATGAGCGCTGGTTTTTCCTTTGTGTATGATATTTTGTATTAATATATCTTAGAATATAACATATTCAAAAGGTGAAAAAACAGCAAACTTTGCGCTTTTCGAGCAATTTTTGAAACTTTCAAAAAAGACACAAGAAGACCCAAACCACAGACCACCACAGACTACCACTATCATGCGATACAACTTCAAAACCTTGTATTGATGTTAAAAAATAATATTTACCACGTACATACATATTTCAAGTACTTTGGATATTAGGGCAAAAAAAGACACCTGTCCTTTCATTTTACAAGATTTCATGAAATTTTGCATCGCTGATAAGAAAGGGAGCTCGGAGGGATTCAATACTTTTATCCTACTTCTCCCGAAATTTTCAAACCAGGAATCGCACCTCGATCAGATTTTTTTCAATCTTGCGGGTGCTCCATTACAGGATGCAGGAGCTTCATTTTAACTGCATCCGTGTTGACACGATACAGCATTTCTGAGTGTTAATGACGTCATTGGCGGGGTATTCGAGGACGTCACGATGGAGCCAGCGCCGATCGCGGAATAGCGAGGCGAAATAAGGAGACAAAAGCCGGAGTCTCCGGTTTTTCCTGTTTCAGAACTTTCTTCGGGCGACTCCGTTTTTTTTTTTTTTTTCTTTTTTTTTTTGTGATAACGAGTCTCACCTCCCTCGACAAAAGCGTTAGTTCGGATAATAATTGCGAAATCCCGACCTCGCCGCCCCGGCAAAAATGAACGCCCAGCGCGCACCAGTAACTTCGCTAACAATTTATTTTTAAACAAGTACAAAACGTTGACTGTACAGTACGGAAAAGGGGAGGGGGGAAAAGTATTCTTCAGACCCGCCGAAAGAGTTTTTCTGTTTACACGTTTATAAAGGAACGGAAAATCATAATATCATTGTCGTCCCGCTGCGATCTCTGGGAGAATGCCTGCGAAAGAATGGATGACGAACCTGACGATGGAGTCGATCACTACCTGAGTTCAGTGGATCATCATTGGATATGGTCTAGATGAATGTCTTGTTTTCACAATTCCCCATCTTGGAATGGACGGAAATTCGATTCAATTGCGGAACGTTTTTGAGTCATGCACATCATTCATTCGTTTTCCATTTTTCTTGCATTATACATTGAAAAAATGGGCTCCAAGGGGGAAAAAAATGGGCCTTTAACCCAATTTGACCCTAGCCCCCCAAATTCTAGCGTACCCCAAAATCGTTTGACGTGCATAAGGAGACCATAGATATGGTGTTCTGTGCCAATTTTGAATGAAATCGAACAGATAGATTCTGAGATATCGCTGTACACAGATTTGGGGGACATCTGACGGACGGACACACATTTTTTCAAGTATGGTTATTTTGACTACTGGGACCTTAAAACGTCTAGAAATGATGAAATTTCAACTTCTTTTTTTTTTCTTGGAGTATGACAATACTTATTCCTCTCTACCCCAGGGGGAGCGAGAAAGTAAAAATGCCTGCGATCTCTGGAAGAATGCCTGAGAAAGAATGGATGACAAACTTCACTCTGGAGTCGAGCAATACCTGAATGCAATGGATCGTCATTGGATATGGTCTAAATGAATGTCTTGCCTTAAAAATTTCCAATCTCAGAATGTGTGAAAATTTGATTTAATTGCGGAATGTTTTTGAGTCATGAACATCATTCATTTGTGCTCCATTTTTCTTTCAATATACATTGAAATAATGGGTTCCAAATGGGGGAAAAATTCCGAAATTTAAGAGCGTTCATTTTGCTCCATTGAAGGACCAGAAAAATTCGCATTCTTGGCTTAGGGGTTCTTTTTGAGAACTAAAAAATATAGGTACGCCAAAACAATTTTCTCTGACGGAAAAATTTCTTCTGAACCAAGTTTTTTTTCGTATCCTGGATTTTTCGTTTCGCATTTTTCGAAAATGAGTATATTTTGCGACAAGCGATTCAGATCCAAGTATTTTTACATGGAATTTGTTTGTCAATATTTTTCACAAAAAATGACAAGTGCTCAAAAATTTCTGACTGTATAGTAAAAGTATATCTCTTTGAACGGAAATTTCAAAACAAAGCAAATAAAACTGCTTTTTGATCCGACGTTCGAAAAAAAAGACCGAAATCCAAGATCGAGCCCTGCTTTTCTGCGATGGCATGATGAAGAACATAATTTGAAAGATTACACATTATTTTAAAATTTTAAGTATTTGACAAGCTTATTTGATGAGTCTCGGGAAGAATACCTCATTTCTCGGGTTTGTCACCGGTTTTTGATGACCGAGTGAACGAAGCTGTATTCCTATTTAATTACGATTTTGAGTCAAACATTGTACTATCTTCATTCACTTTTCAAACAAATCCTAGTTAAAAAAATAAGCGACAGAGAGAGAGAAATAAATCTGACTAACAATAATTTTTGGGTAATGAAAATTAAGTTGAGGAGATCTTGCACTTGACGGACAAAAAAACTCTTTCTCACAGGTCATCTGAGGATGGACTTTGTAACATACTTACAGGTATTTACAAAACAGGTAATAACAAAGAGGGGTGGAATGTCTTAGCTTCATCTGTTAACAAGTTTATTGGTCATAATCACTGCTATACTGTACAAAAGACATTGGAGAGAAAGGTTCGTGCTGCCGGCACTCCTATTACCGTGCTGCATTGCGGCCGGATGCTCATCTGAAACAAAAAAATAATAGCTCATCAGTTACAGTTCTTATAGAAAGTATTCTGCATTTTGTTTTAAAAGGTGTGTTTTATTCAACACGCAAAAGAAAGACAAAATCTACTGATGTCCAAGGAAAAATACTGAGTGTTTCAGAAAAAAGAAGCTGCTCAAATTCAGAGTTATAGGGGAGGGGGGGACAGGGGACACTCCCCCTAGCGCCGCGACAGGAGAATGCCCGAGTGAAGATAGTTTTGGAGAATATTATATAAAGTCGCTCCTACGACGCACTCTGGCGTTCTGCGACACCCAAACGCCACACGAGTTAGTATAAATCGCATACACGGTAATTCATATACTGGGTGTCCGATGGGTAAATTGCATACTAGCATCAAATTGTTGGTTGGTGGGTACCGAACATCAAACTGTACTCTTGTTATGATTTGTTAGCAATCTACCAACAATTTAAACTATAAACTAACCTCATTTCGGAAAAGGCAAAAGGGCAATATAGATAGCAGAATTTGACATTTATTATTTGAAATGTCGATATTCTTGAGAATATCTGAAACACATCTCACCCTCGGACCCTCAAGGAAGAAGAGATGGTGATCATAAATTAGGGATTAGTAGCCTATAAGGTGACTAGGATGGCCCGAGAGTCGTTGATTATTTTGACGTTTGGTACCAAGCGACTTTTTTTAATGTTCACAAAAGATAAGTAGAACCAACCCAACGATATGACGAGGCCGCTGAAGTTATCTTTCTATCACGTATTTTGTTGCCTTTCTCCATGCCCTTGACCAGTTGAAGTCAGCAGAAAGCGGCTTTTCAGGGTAGGTACTGAAGTGTACAAATAAGGCCCAATGAAGAAAAGGAAAAATTTTAGGAGGCAGAGGCCGAAGTTTTGCTGAGCTGTGGGTCTCACCAACAACTCAGGTCTCTGGTAATTTGGACAGCGATAGCAGAAAATGTAAAACCTCAAATATGAGACTATTTTTCTCTACTTCCATTGTCAGCTGCCACATAAGTTACAAGAGTCATTAACGACATAAGATGTTACGATAATTTCACTTACCTCTGCTCAAAGACAGAGTGATGATGTTAGTTACCAAGGATTTGGAGCCATTGCCACTAATTAGTGGCTTGTTTTAGAGGCTGCCAATAAGGTTTCTTGAAACCAAGCAAACCTGCGGTTTGACTTGCTGTTATCATTTATCCAAATGCTGGGTTATCAAGAAACTTTCAGTGGCTAAGCTTCCTTGTCGGAGACTCCTTATACTCCCGTTATCTCTTGATTTCTCAACTGGAGTTAGTGGGGTCCTCACACGTATTGAGAGGAATGAGACGTAACAAGATGATTCATGCAGGATGAACAAATTGGCCTGACTAAATTATGATAAGTAAACTTCAAACATCAGACCTTTTGGAAGATTTTAAATGAAAATAAGAGTAAGCTGTTCAAGTGACTCGGAAAAAACAGATACGAATGAAGTCAAGGACGGGGACGCAAGACACTTCGGTACAGGAGCTCCACATGGATGAACTTCGATGGATATCTGGAGACACAAATACTAAAAGAGCTGACCCACTGGCAAGACACTACTGAAATTGTAGGACTGTATCTTTAACTTATTTAAAATTATTAAAAATTGGCCTCCGTCCTAATCAGGACAGACGAACAGTCACTGCCACACAGATTGACACAAAATATTGGGGACTCCTAAACGGGCTGCACACAGTTCTTCACTAGAATTTTTAAAATTTTATATGGACTCAACAATGTCAGAATGAACTAAGTTCTTCTCAAAGACGCTTAAAATTTAAGCCAACAGACTGGTTACGTTACCCCAAAAAGCTGGACAGTCTGTGGATAGTATCGATAATTGGCAATCCACCTTATCTAGATGTGAAATATATGTCTTTGGAAATATTAGTGCAGAAATAATTAATAATCCAAATGAGAATTATTGGTGGTATTGGGTAAAAAAAATTCCTTACATTATTTGTGAGAAAGAAGGGCTATGAAATTATGAATGATCAGAAATCGTAGAGTGAATTTCGCGATCGCCCAACAGTTTGACAAACTGGCAAATTATATGAATTATCCTCTCACCATCCATCTGTATATGATTTATCTGATTTCGACGGGAGTATACGATTTATCTTGTATACAATGTATCTGCCCCCACGCCACACATGCCTATATTCCCGGAGGATATCGGACAACTGACACCGCAACATCTCTTCGTCAACGCCCTGCCGCCATCCCTTTACGGGACGTTCCCGTTTTGAAGGATACCCCCTTAAAATAAGTGAATATTTGTTTCAGCGGTTTCTGAATCTCAAGATCCTCGAGGTATTCAAAGATGCTGCTTTTTTCTGCATGAAACAACTTGTTGAGCACATATTCAGGCAACAATTCAGTTGTTGGAGAGTGTTTTCCGACGACATAGCACACGGCAATATCAATATTATGCATGTGGAATTTCACGCAAACTGCTCCAATTTTTCTTGTTCACACCTTGCAGTTGCATTTGAACGTCAAGTGGGTACCCATATCACTTTAAATTGAACTCGCGGAATGTGCGAGTTTCCTTACCCTGAACGACTGCGAAACAAAGGCTTTCCTTGCGCGTAGGTCTTAGGTTCATGAACATTATGACCCAAATCATCTCATTTTTAAACGGACCGCGTTCAGCAGAAAGTGAAAAGCCACATCAGCTATTGCAAAAAACTGGGCAATTTAATTCTTTACAAAAGAACGCTTGTGCGGATTCCTTTGAAAATTTTGAGGAATTTGCTTTGTATTTTGCAGGAAATTCACTGAAAGTTGCATAAAAATCCGCACAACCGTTTTTGTGCAAACAATTAAAATGCCCATTTAAATTTGGCAATAGGTGATGTGGCTTGGTTCCTTTCTGCTTAGCACGGTCCAAGTGTCTTAATCGTTTCGAACTTAGCACTCTGTCCTAGGGAGCTCCAGGATCCTGTGCTGGGCGTCCGAGATGGCATGGTCAAACTATCTCTGACAGTTTTCATGAAAACTGTTGCAAAGTCACGCCAAACAAGTTTCAAAATCATTGATTTTAAATTTCCCTGTCGCGTCACAACCTCGATACAGAGCTTGCAAGATGAAAATATTATGACTCGCACGATCACCGATCCCAGTCAACTTGATTTACAGAAAAAAAGGGAAAAAAATATTCGGGCGTCAACACGACTCTAAAAATATGATCCTCCTAAATAAACTTATCAACCTTGATTTTGAACCCTGCGAATGACGACATGGATGCAAAAATTTCTGAAGAGCCAAATTTTTGGGACCATGAGAACGCAGAGAATGCAGAGTGTGCAACACTGAATAGACGCAGAGAAAGTTCAACCGAGGAACACTTTCGCACAATAAAGATTGAGAATGTCACTTCCGTACTATATTTTTCAAAATCAGCTCCGGAAGTCAAATTTGGCAACGCTGCAGCGAAATTGCAGGGCTCATCCAAGCTCCATGTTCGTTATGGTCAGCGCGGCTGTATTATGACAACACGAAAATTTCTTGAGCGTAGATACATTCTGCTGCTTGTTATGATCAAGAAAAGTAGAGCGCCTGCAATCTCGTGTGTATGCAACACGGACATTCCTTGAGTACGAATAGTCGTATCATAGCGCCTTCGATTTTTCTCGCCTCTAATGACTGAAAAAATTACATTCCTGGTTTGGCCGTGAGATGTGAGTGATGCCACTAGTGCTGTCATGGTGAGGAAGAACGTAATATGAGCATTCAGCCGTTGCCAATTTTCCCTCACGGAAAAAATCTAATTGCTGTTTTAACAATTAAAGTGCTAAAAAAAAGTGACTGCAATGTTTCAACGTAGATTTTACAAAAAGAAAATGCTACTTTAACCCCTATTGCAAGCTACTTTAACCAAGGGGGTGGTTAAAGAAGCATTTATTTGTTGTAAAATCTACATTGAAACATTGCAGTCACTTTTTTTAGCAATTTAATTGTTACATCAGCAATTTGATTTTTTCCGTACTCGACAAATTATGAATTTTCAGAGAAAATAACAATTTGCCACCTAATTTTTCAAAGAATGATTTTTGATATTTGATCTAAAATATCCAGAAATTTCATGTACAAAATTCCGTAGCTTTCCACAAAAATTCCATGAATAAATATTCAATCGGAGAAAATTAGAACTTGTACCGAATATTTTAAGTCGGGCAAAGATAAATTAAAATTCTGGAGAAAATATTCTTTAATTTCTATTTGGGGGATGTCATATTGTTGGTACTCTAAAACGTGGGAATTTGAGATAAAGGTTCCTGAACTTTCATTAGCAATATTGGTCGGAATATTTCATCGGTATCTCTATGGAAAGCAACTGTTTACGGAATGGCGGCAGCAACTGTTTACAGCCGAGATTTCCAGCTTTTACTTGAAACGGTGGGGGAGCTTGAGGGAATTCAAAACGGAGTTGAATAATTTGGGAGGCGAGTCAACAGTGTCTCTCATTTAACTCGGCCACCTAGACTGCCGTGCTAGGGAAGAACGCCGTATGAGCCTTCAGACGTTGCCATATTTCCATCTATAAAAGGCAAATTTAGTTAGAAAATGGTGAATATTTGTCCTCAAATTTTTCAGACAATTTTGTTAGCAATTTAATCTAAACACTTAAAAATTTCCAGGGAAAATATGCATTTTCCATAAGATACATACTTTATCCAGAGAAATTCGGCGATTCTCGATTGTTCATACGGCGTTCTCCCTTAGCACGACAGTAGAGACCTCAGGTAAATACGCTCGATTTTTAAGTTTGTTAACTCCTCCGTCGCATTTCGATAAGACAAGTTGGGAATAATTCTAATCGTTCAACTCCAGGTCCTGTTTCAAAGCTGTTTTCACTATTCAAATTTCAGAACGAGTTCATTTCATGTCACTAGTGCGGTGCTTACCAATTGTATCGGTTTCTCCATTGGCTAAAAAAAAAAAGAAAATAAATGAATTCAGCCG